CCCTGCAGGCGGAGCTGCAAAGCCGGGAAAACCGCGCAAGGGCCCTCATGCGCAGCGGCGCGGAGGGCGGGGTTGTCGTCCTGCCGGTCGTCCACCACACCGCAATTCGACCTGAGGAGGAGCGCTTCGGCCCGAACGCGCCGAACGCCGTGCGTCGGTACGAACGCCGAACGGAGAAGCTGAGGCGGCGGCGAGAGTTGGAGGCACGAGAGGAGTTGGTAGCGCGGAAGCGCGGGGTATCGCACGGGGTGGTGGGGGATATCGTAATCCACCGAGAAAGCCCAATTGTGAACCCCCTTTCGCCCGATCAGAGTGCCGTTCAGGCGGACGGTTTCGCACGGAGTGCGTTAAGTAGTCGTCCAGAAGGGGCTAGCAGCAACATACGTAGAATACGCGTTATTGCAGTCTCACCCACCCTAGACCACCGTGGCGGCAGTGTCCCTATGCCAGACCCTGGCAGCCCTAGTTACCAACCCCCTCTAGGCACCGATCCAGAAGTGTTTCGAAGTGAAGAAATTTCGCGTCGCAGTCGACCGGGTTCGACTCAATAATATTTTTTAAAGCGCAACACATAGGAGTATGGGCACCCACGTATGCACATTTTTCCCTTAATATGCTTTGAAGCGTTTACATAACGAAAAGGTTTCTTCCCTCCTTTGCTCACGAAGAACCCAGGAGAGGATTTATCTTTAAGTATGGGGGTAGTTGGTCTTGAAATTTTTTACCTCACAGCTTTATCCTGAGCGATCCTTTAAGGTTTCCAACAAGTTTAACCAATAGGCTTTTTATTGGAAAGGTTACATGCACAAGTCCATGGATTGCATTACCCTCTATAGGCCTTCTTTGTGTTTGCCTATATTTGAAGCTTTAGGCTATTAAATGTACATCTTTTCCTTTATATGTATATATTTTTGACTCCTTTTGCATGTAGTTTACTTCTTCCTTACTATCGACAAATACGCTCCTTCGTATGAGTTTAAGTATTTACAATCGAAAAGAAAAAATATAGGCAAGTCATACCTGATATATTATGTACGATAAATCAGTGGGCCACAGTACTGCTTGCTGTTTGTTTTTTGGATATATTTTTTCCAGCAGTTATTATGTCACAATTATTGGTTTAGATGAGATTAGAACTTTTAAGAAGTTATACACGTTCTAAAAGGACTTAGAGGAAAATTTTTCAGGAATTTAGTTATGGGTATTTATTCTTCCTGACTGCAACAAAGGTTCTTGGTTGCATTTACTCTTAGAACTGAGGCGATGCCCACACAGATAGTCACATACCCATTGTGACACCGCCAGTGACTAACATTTTAGCTATGATTTCATCTTATAAACGTATTTTCTTATTGTTTCATAAAAAGGGTAGGTAGGGAGTTCAAACCTATAGTAGTCGTACATTAAAGGGTCTGGCGTCTAAATTTTAAAATCAACAACCTAAGTATAGTCTGTTTTGTGTCAAATCTTCGATTGTGTCCTGACTCCAAAAAGGAAGTAATCCGAGTGAGATGGCTGGTATTACCGAAATCATTGCGGCCCTTGGTAGCCCCGACCCCAGCATCCGCATACCCGCTGAGCAGGCAGTTAATCAGGCCAAAGAAACCGATCTCTCCGGGTTTATTCTTGCCGTTCTGCAAGAGTTCAGGGATGAGTCCAAACCAGCGTTTGTGCGTAACATGGCTGGCACACTACTCAAGAACGCTGTTGCGCCGTCTTTCCGCGAGGTCGCCGCTAGGAAGCTTTTGGAGCGGAAATGGGCTTCACTCCCGGCGGACGTACGACAGCGGGTGAAGGAGGAAGTGCTGATTACCCTAGGCTGCCCGAGCCGTGAGGTTCGCAATGTCGCCGCGAACATCGTGGGGAGTCTCTCCAGGATTGAGTTGCCCTCCGGCGAATGGAAAGAGCTTATTGGGATCCTTGTATCAGCAGTAGAGTCGAACTCCACACAGCACCAGGAGGCCGCGTTAACTGCCATCGGCTACGTCTGTGAGGATGGAAACGACAACGAAGATGTCGAGGAGGCCTTAAAACCACACACCGATGGCATTCTTTCTGCCGTCGTTCGTGGCATGGCGAGCGAAGATGACAGTGTAAAGCTAAGCGCAACGCGTGCACTGCGCAATGCGATGGAGTATATTAATGACAACATGGAAAAACAAGATCAGAGAGATTACCTTGTCGGTGCGGTGTGCTCCGCTGCGAAGGACAGCTCCAATGTTCGCACGCGTGAGCTTGCGATGGAGTGCTTAGTGAAGATAGCCGCGCTGTACTATAGTACTTTGCCCAATTATATAAGCCATCTGCATGCGATTACGACGGCAGCTATTGAGAGCGACGATGAAGCGGTTGCCCTTCAGGCGATGCTTTTCTGGATTACCATTTGTGAAACGGAAAGGGATATGAAGGAGTCCTCTGAAATCGAGCAATGCCTTAACTATGCCACCACGGGCATGTGGTTCTTAGTGAACCTGTGCCTGGCGCAGTTAGTCAAGCAGGATGAGAACGGTGATGGCGAGGATGAGTGGAACTTGGCAGTGGCCGGAGGTAAACTCCTACAATGCTTGGCCGAGGCAGTTGGAAGTCCGATTCATGAGCCCGTTATGCAGTTTGTATACGCCAATATCAATAGTCAAGAGTGGCGGCAGCGTGAAGCAGCTTTGATGGCTTTTGGTTGTATCCTCGGTATTGAAGATCAAGGCGCACAGGAGGCGATCCAAGATACCGTCGCTCAGGCTGTCCCTGGACTTCTAGAATACCTTCGCGACTCAAACCCAATGGTCGCGGATACCAGTGCGTGGGTGGTGGCAACTGTGTGCGAGTTTTTCGTGGACGTCTTCTTGCAGCAACCCCAGCGTCTACATGAGCTGATGAACTTAATAGGACCGATGATTAGTGCTGACAATCCACAGATGGGCAAGCGTGCATGCCACATCGTGCATAACCTCGCCCTTGCCTATGAGAACGAAGAGAATCAGGCAACAAATGAGCTTACACCTTTTTATGCGGATCTGATTGCAGTGCTGCTGCGTGCGATTGACAGCGGGTATACCATAGACTTTCGTAGCAATGCACAGGAGACCCTCAATGCGCTGGTCGATGCCGCAGCGAGGGACTGCATGCCCTACCTAGCGCAGTTGGTTCCAGAGTTGCACAAGCGCATAGAAACCCAATCGAACCTCATGCGAGCGCAGATTGCGGCTAGCGGTGATCTACAGGATACGGAGACCGCGCTCGGCTTACTGTGTGGGGCCCTCGGCGCGGTTTCTCGAAAAATGGGCGAAGACTTCGTCAGCCTTGTCGACCCTTCTATGCGACTGCTGCTCGACCTTATCGAGCTTAAGATGGACTACGTGCAGGACGAGGCGCTTGTAGCGATCGGTAGCATCGCCTATAGTGGTAAAGCGGTGATGACGCCATACTTCCCTCGCATCGTGCCGTATGTTGTTCGCTGTTTACAGGCCTTTGACGAACCAGACAGTGTCTACAGTGTGGTGGCGGCGATTGGCGATTTTTGCTTGGCCTGCGGCACCACATTCGCACCGTATGCAGGCCAGATCATGGACACTCTTTATCAAAACGTCCGCAACCCACAGGTCAACCGCGATCTTAAATGCTCCTTCGTGCATTGCTTTGGCGATATCGTGCTCAGCGTACTAGGTGCTTCAGGGTTTTTGCCCTACATGAAGGATCTGATGCCAGTTTTCGAGGAGATGTTTAGAGCAAGCACCTCCATCGACATCCGTGGTGACCCCGACAGCGAGGAGTACGTCATGACGCTCTGGGAGGCCACTGCCTCGGTCTACTCCGCCATCATTCAATGCTTCCAGAAAAAAGAGGTGAGGAACCTCGTGCCATATTTGTCGGGGATTCTAAGCTTTGCCATGCATGCGGCGAGGAACTCGGCGTCGTACCCGGAAACGCTCATGGCAGTCGTGACGGTGGTGGGTGATATGGCGTCGGTACTGCGTCATGCGCCCGATCAACAACTACGTCAACAGGCTAAGCAGGCGCTGCTAACACCTCAAATGAATGAGGTTATAACTAACGCAAGTCGGAACGTTAACCTTTCCAGCGAGGATGCCAAGCAACTGAAGTGGATTCAATCACAGCTAAAGTCCTTGGAGTCAATTTGAAGTAGGTTTGGTGAGAAATACAATAGAGTGAAATCAACAGGGATGCGGAAGAATAATAATATTAATAATATCGAATAACGATTGAGTATGATATAGCCATAATTGAAGGCAGATGGGACATAGTAACATGAAAAGCCTTTCTTAAAATGATGTGTTTCCAAGTTATTTGAAAATTCATATGGATCTAATGTTAATGAATTGTTGTAAGTCGGAAAAGAAAATACATGATAGATCAAAAGCGCACTTTCCAAGGGTCTTGGTTTGTTCTCTTGAGTATTAAGCTTCTTGAGGGCTGTATTCTACGATTTATAGATCAAGGTGAGGAGCTGCTGAATAGGCGGGAATTGACATTATGGGACATGATTTTGAATCTGAGCAAAACTGAGGCAGAAATTTGTTTCAGTTCGGTGAGTTCATGGTGAACTTGAGGGGATAATTAAATAACGGCGGGTGTTTCTCTCATTCAAAGCAATAAAAGTAGGAAGGCTTCCACAAGATGCTATTTTGCTCATTTTTATTATTCCTCTATTCTTCTTATGCATATAAAAATGTCCTGAAAACTTGAACCGCTGAGGGTTCGTGTCTATAACCATTTCCCTATTTTTAACCCTTTTTATTTGCTTGATTGATTCTCAGTTTAACGTCAAGAGACAACAAACTTAGGGTGTAACCTTTATTATCTAGATATTAAGGTGTGTTTTAAGTAATAAAAACGGAATTCTGAGAAGGTATCTAACTTGAATAAAAGATGGATGGGATTCCTCCAGAGTACGATGAGACGACCAAGGAGCGTATTTACCGTCAGGAGTGGCTAGAGTACTTCCATTTTATTGGCTGGGAAGCGGCGCGGATTAACTATCCAGCCGAGTTCTACGCCCTTCACCCCTCGCGTGTGGTCAAGGGCGCCGCTATGAACAACAGTTCCTTGGCGGCTCTTAACCCCGGCGGCGGCTCCATCTTTTTCCCGAACGCTTCAGACTCCATGGCCGATCAGAACCTCTCGATGAAGCCCCCAGAGGGTCCTATCGCCACGACGTCGATGGAAGAGGCAAAGCTGTTCATCGATGACGGCGAGCTGAGTAGGTCGAGCGATGATGACGAGGGCAGCAGCTGGTTTTCGTCCACCAGCTCCTCGTCGTACACCTCTTCCGTCGACCACGATGGTGGTACCACGGATAATGTTGTAAAGGATAAAGATCGTAAACGGAGGAGCCGAAGGGATGTCGAAGGTAGCGAAAGCAGGCATCGGCATCACAAAAGTAGCCACCACCGCCGCGGTCGTGAGCGTGGTGAAGATGGTGGAAAAGAGGCGCGCCGTCGGGATGATGAGCGCGGTGGCTCTCGTCACCACCGCAGGCATCGTTCCTCAAGCCGGCATAGTAACCAAAAACATTCCAAGGAAGACCGCCGGCGGGATGAAAGTCGACGAGAGCGAAAAGAATCCCGTCATGAACAGCGTCCGCATCGAACGCACCGCAGCTCTCACGAGGATCATCACGCTGCCAAGTCACGAAGAGAGCCAGAAAAGCGGAGCCGCGGAGAGGATGAGCGCACTAAGGCCTATGATGATCGACGGCAAGATGCGATACGTAGGAAGCGGGAAACATCGCGTCGAAAATAGAGGTGCATAGGTAATGCGCATTTACTCATCAAATAGTGAAATCAATAGTAGGGACTCTGCCAGAGATTTAGAGGGTTAATAATTCTTCTCGTTTAGAAAAACAGTTTGTGGGTGTTTTGTGATGGCATTGACGCGCAAAGCCATTGAACAATAACCTAAAAGTTCCCAATATTGTGGTTCATCGTATTGAATCCTAATGACAACTGGCCGTTAGTCTAAAGAATAGCCTAGAAGGGATTCATTTCGTTCCTTAGTTTTGCTTCTAATATTATGATTAGATCTACTACTAAACGTATTAGGTAGAGGACTGATTGGCACACATATATATACATAAAGGAAAATCAATAGACAAGGTGAATCAGCTTAGATAAGATTCCTGATATTTGCGTGAATGAAAAGTAGCAAATCTAAGAACTGCGGTAACTCTACAATAGTAAGCCCGCTCAGTATTTCAGACGCCTCGCATCACAAGGTAGCCGCTAGCAAAGCGTTTTTGGAAAATCACTACCGGGACCTCCTTCGCGATACGCGCAGAGGTGGCGTACGTGAGGTAGGCCCACGCGAACGGGAACTCACCGCTAATGATTTTCATCTTCTTAAATGTATCGGCCGCGGGGCCTTTGGAGAGGTTTATGTCTGCCGGCGGGTAGGCCAAAACAATCAGTTGTATGCCCTGAAGCGGCTTCGAAAAATGGATATGATAAGAAAGAAGCAGGTTTTACACATCCGATCTGAAAAGGATGTGTTGTCGGAGGCATCAACCAAAAATCCATGGGTAGTCCGTCTGTACGCGAGCTTTCAGGACGAGCAGTACCTGTATATGGTGATGGAATACATGCCCGGCGGGGATATGATCTCGTGGCTCTGTGAAAAGGGTATTTTCGATGTCGATAGCACACGTTTCTACATCGCTGAGCTCTGCGTAGCTGTGAACAGTGTCCACGAAATGTTTTTTGTGCATCGGGATATCAAACCCGATAATATTCTCTTCGGGACCGATGGTCATATTAAACTCAGTGACTTTGGCTTGTCAAAGCGGTTTGCGAAGTGCCGCGATGACGAGCTGCTTCTGTTGGATTGTTCTGATGAGAACAGCAGCAATCGAGAGCAAACCAACTCGACTAGTTCGCCGGAAAATTTATCGGGCCGGACTGATACGAACCAGAGATCCTTGGATCCGGATAAACCGCGGCGGTTGCAGCGGGATAGCATCGGCCGAGGGACCTCAGTTGGTGAGGGTCGTGCGGGCGCCTCGCCCCACTCCGCCTCTTCGAAACCGAAGCACGACTCCTCGTATCGCCACGCGCGTGAGATGTTCCAGTCCATCGTCGGCAGCGCGGGCTACATCGCGCCGGAGATCCTACTGCGCCAGTCCTACGACGTGAGTTGTGACTGGTGGTCCGTCGGAGTGATCGTGTACGAGATGCTCTACGGCATCCCACCTTTTTACTCCAGTGAACCGAACACGACGTGTCACAAGATCATGCACTGGCGAAAGTATCTATGCTTCCCTTCCGACAAGGGCATCCCAAGTGAGGCCGTGGACTTCATCGCACGGCTCCTGTGCGATCCGAAGGACCGCATGACCTTCGCGGAGATCTCGCGCCATCCTTTTCTTCAGGGCCTGGATCTGGATCATTTGCGGGAGATGAAGGCTGCGTACACGCCCGTCCTTTCGGGCCCGTTAGACACCAGGTACTTCCCGGAGATCGACGAAAGCACCTTGAGTCAGACTGTCGCAGACGATAACAACACGGTGAGGGAAGTCGACCCACGAGGAGTCATGTTTGCAGATTTCAGGTTTAATTATTACTCAAATCACCGACGCATATCAGCCGCAAAAGATCAATAGGTTACCCTATCTTAGACGATAACTGTTCAGGGGAAGGTGCGCGCGATGGGACAAAATCAAACTTGTAGAATTCAATTGGGTGCAAGTTGTAAGGTTATCTCTTATATCTAAAAAATAAAAAGGAAAACTTATAGGGAAGAGTTTGAATGTTCAAGAATGTACAGAGAGCAGGATTTACTAAAGGGATTTTGTGCTTCTCGTTTGAAACGTATACGCAGTTTCTAAATCAAACACATTTTCGGTTAGGCTTCTTGAGAGGTAATATTAAAGGAGCTACTAAGTAAATCTCTGATAAGAAACAATCACAGCCATATCACACGGTTCATCGGGTAGGAATGATTAGATTCATTGATTCGTACCCACCTTTAGTAGTGATGTGACTTGGTTTGGTGTCTTGATGTATATTCTATCTCAGTTCTGGGAAAAGTTAAGCTCTCCGTTTATTTCTCACTTTCCGCGCGCATTTTTTTACCGTTTTATGAGGCTTATGGGTCACTGGCCCTCTACAAATAGTGTGTTTATTGAAGTTTTGAGGGGAAATGCTAGATATACATATATTAGCTTGCTTGCTTTTTGCCCGTCGCGAATGTTGTAGGTAGTACACTAATTGTAGATTTTCATGAATATCAGGGATTGTGCGCGTGACGAATTGTATTTTCCTTTAGGTGTGGTTCTTCAAAAGACGCAAATCCTGAAAGGATGGGGCAACGATAAGCACAAAGGAGAAAGTGAATTGGAGTAAAAATAAAGTTCCGCTGTGCTTTCTTTGATAACTGTGTTCATACGAAAGTGACTCTTGAATAATTTTTTTAAAATTCATTCTTAAGCTTTCTTTGTTGTTATCATTCATTTTCTTGCAACATCAACAAGCTGATTATAGTGTATACATGTGTATTGTATAATAACATTTGAGAGCTTTTATTTGCAAATTCGTGCACCACTTATAAGCATTACTTGCTGTATCATGTGAATTCTCATTTTCGTTGTAGTACCTTATTTTCCTTTGTTTTTCCATGATTTTTATTGTCTCATTTTAGTTCATAGGGTACATTTGGGGGAGGTTTCTCTTTGTGTAAGCGTTTGAAATTATGGTATCTAGAATATTTTGGAGATTTTCTAAATATAGAAGGCACAACGGATTTTTTTAAGGTGACAAAAGTCGCTTGAGGGAGAGGAACGATTGCGATTTTTGGCATTCTCAACTTTAAAAATAAGTACGTGCTAAGTTTAGTTCCCTTTCAGTTAAATATTGTCACCTGTTTCGGTCACCCTTATCGTACTGCGCAAAGGCAAAGTGTGAATATTCCACGGTTTAATGTCCGTCTACAGAAATAGTTTGGGATTTCTTGCACAACATTCTTATCAAAGTGGGATCTCGCAGGAAGCCTTCAACAATGATCCAATGGCTAAGTCTGAAAATGGTGGATCAAGTGTTCAACCCAATGGGAACATGCGTCGTACAACCTTGGTCACTTCACCCACTACGCCACCCCGAATGGTAGATCCTTCGTCAAAACAGAATTCTTCGAGTGCAGCGTATCAGACGAATACCTCTTTTCTGCATCGGCGTTATCTTTTTAGCCCATCGCAAGACGAAGAATCTACTCCCGATATTCTGAAGCATCAACAAGTGGCAACTTCTCTTGGTGATCCAAATCAATTCCAAAACTGCGCTGGGGGGGAAGAAGGCAGTAATGCTTTTTTAGTATCAACAAAGGAACTTCATGGTGAATCGAAATTTTCAACAGGCCTAAATTCTTATCAAAGACACATCAAACGGAACGAAAACAGTGGAGGCTCTCTAGGGTTAGCCAATTCGCGGTTATCTACCCTAAGGCATCGCCAAGTAGAATCGTGTAATTACGGCCAAGCGGTGCACGCGACGTTCACTCAGAGTTCATCCTCGCTGCACGACCGAGAGGACGAAGCGATGAAGCCCAAGGAGACAGCGAGTTCGGCCCCACGTGCACCACAAACCCCCCGCAGCAAACCATCCACTTTTCTTTCTGCTGAAGAGCAGCATCCACCTGGAAGAGGTTCCAATCGTATGCAAGAAAACATGCCGTATGAGGCTTTACATGCGAAGTATACTGAGAGCAAGAACCTTGCTTCTGATCAGGTTCTTTTTGGAAATCCAAAAGACCTGCAACACCAATTAACTGATGATCGGAAAGCTATCCAAGCAAATGTGCCATATGCTGCATCCTTCGATTGCCAAGAAAACCAGCATGACTGCAGGAAGGAATACGATTACTGTTTCAGGCGACAAAGTATCGTGCCCTCCCCAGAAAAGACAGATACTCCGCTGTCTTGCTCTTATTGTATACCCCACGTCGCTATATCCCCGCCTTCCCCACCCTCAAGGGGGTGCAGAGATCCTGTTGCTTTACACCTTTTTGCAGAAGAAAACAGCTTCGGAAAGTTCTCAGGTATCCACCATGACACTATGCTAGTTAATAAGGATTCTGATCTTGCCTGTGGTTGCACCCCTGAAAAGATAGCTAGTATTAGAAAAGCAGATGATTCAGGGAATAAAGCAAGGTTCTCTCCAGAAGGTATTGATCTGAACTCGTCCCGCATCCCTCAAAAGGGCGGCTCTCTTGATAAGGGTATCGAAAATGCGTGTGATACTTCATCCCTGAGTCTCCTCGCAGATTACCTTTGTAGCAAAGTCCGATGGCTCGAGGAAGAAAATGAGTCTCTACGGCGGTGTGTGCTCCAGAATTTGGATGGCTACGGAGGAACTGCAGGTTCTTTTCCTTCAAGGTCCAGTCAACGTGGCTGCGAAAGCTCACATGGTATGCAATCCAGACAACAAGTAGAAGGCATGAAAGCTGTCGCTCACGGGTCGAGCCACCCTGTAGAAATCGCAAAAAACGGCACCTCTAAGGACCAACATGGTAATCTTGTGGACGATGTTGCTTTCCGCGGATCCCTATCTACTCGGAAGAAAGAAACCCATGTATACGAAGAAACCACATCGCGTGCCTCAAAAATTTCTGCTGCTGAGCACAAAGAAAGGCAATCTATTCGATTAGAGGAAAGATCCCCTCCTTTCCAAGCATCACCAACTTGTGCGTTGACTTCATACAAAGCAGATTTGCATTCTCCGTCACGCAACCACGACGAAAAAAGCGATATAGCGGCCTACGTGCCCACCCTTAATATGCGCTATAACACGGTGCACGAGTCTGGACAGGGCGTTAAAAAAAGTACCAGCGCGTTCAATGCCTCTTATGTTGCACGGGACCCCTATAAAAGGCAGGATTCTGCTTTCAACGGCAGCTGGAAACATGATTTGGGAAGCCAAGGATTCATTTTTGGAGGTGGTAGCGCTGCTGCCGAGGGCCCCGACGATTATGGTGCTAAGTGTGGTAGGATTTCAACGAATGAAGTGGGGCCTGAGAGCAAGCGCCATATCACGCCGAGCCGGTCTAACCCCTTGTCTTGCAATGCCTCAAATGAGGTTCAACCCCCCAGCAGGCTCACGCACGAGGATATTTCTCGATTAGATGCCTATTACAGCTACCTGTATGCTACACATCAGTATCTTTCGGGGTTACATAACGCAATCTCGTCTACCGGTAAGAAGCTACAAGGTATTCTTAGCGCCACCTTGCCACCAAAAAAAGATTTTTCCTTCAATAGAGATACGGATTTCAAGACAGGTGCAACTTTTCGAAGTTCCAATGAACCCGCCCCGGCAAATATCGAGATGCCATTTCTAAGGTACGGCGCTGAGGGAGTTCCAACACATGCATGGGGAAAAGGAATAAAAAGTTTAAGGGCTAGTCCCCGTCGCTTTTCAGAAGACTTTCGCTACTCATCGCATATGAGTGAAAAAGACGGTACTTGTGCGAGGTTCGCGAGTAATGACCATTTCGTTTGCGAGCACGAGTTTTCGAGACCTAAGCAGCTAGTACTCTTTCCTATGTCGGCACGTTCAACCACTAAAGGAATAAAATTAATCTCAAGATCATCAACTCGCCCTCCATTTGGATTATGTTCTAATGCGCATAATGCACACTGGACGCAACACACAGACGCTTCCTGTAAAATTCAACCGCTTACTGCAAACGGTGCAAAAGCAACACCAATGTTCCAAAATAAAAGGGGTATTTCTTTCCAAGGTGACGTTGTGCGTTCGTCAGAAATGGAAGATAAGCCTGTGGGTACACCTGATGCCCGCACAATGACATTTGGTAGATATCCTTCTTTCTGGCAACGAAGCACACCATTAGCTTCTCAAACACCGATAACTGCGCCGTTGGCTCCAATTACTCATTCCTCAAAAATTAACGTGGATAAATTAACAGACGAACGCACTACGTGTATCCGCAACGTTCTTGAGGGCGACCACAAAAACTGCACGCCATCGTTAGAGGATCAAGATGAAGGGGAGGGGAACATCAGAAAACGATTTGAAGTGTCGCCTTGTCGAAGTAATCGAACTCCTCAGTCTTCTAGATCCTGCATGAAATCCTGTATTGATCCCTATTCGCATTCGCCCTTTGTCAACTCAATGAGTGCAGGGAAAAGGAAAGCAAATGGAAGAAGTCGCTTTAGTTTACATAAAAGCCTTGTTAGTTAGCACAAGGTCTGCTTCTGCAGCAAAAATAGTGTTCTGCGACTATGGCTTTTCCTAACAGTTTTCCTGATGCTTGTGTCTGGCAATGCATTGTATTAGATAGCTCACCAAAGGGCGCATCCACTTCAGAGAGCAGTAAACTGCATCAAAATGCTTTTTATGACAAATACAATACTAATACAAGCATTGCAAGCCTCGACGGTGAGTTCCTGGATAGGGGGAAAAATGCGAGGGCTTGTGGGGGGGTGAGGTAAGAAAAGGTAATACGAGTCTGTTGATCGCATCTTAAGCATTCGTTTGGTTTTTCGAGGCATGTGTACTACACTACCCTCTCCTGTTGATTAAAAGTGCCCCTTTTACATTGAATGCGTTTCTAGTCCTGAATTTATGCGCACAACACTTCAAAAACAAAAAACTATGTGCCTGTAACATTATTGACTGAGTGTTGCGATGATATTCTCTATACATTTTGGGGGCTGCTTATTAATGGTTTACCATATCTGGGCACATAATCCCTTTTGCCCCTGCCTCTAACCTTGTTAGAAATCTCGAGTAGTTTTTGATCTTTTTTATCATTCATTTTTTCTTTATTTATCTATCCATATATATATATATATATATATATATATATATAAGCATCTCTACT